CTAACAATGGAGAAGGCGCGAAGAATGAATTGAATGAACTGGAGTTGACCGAGTGGCATGGCTCGGCCATGCAGGCGTGGTCTCTGCCGAATGTTGCCTTATATCTTCTATTCATATTAAATATATTGTTCCTTCTCTAGCCTAACCTTGTTCTACATCATGTATTGGTAATTGATACGATACAGTGAGTTGGTGTAGTCGATGGTGTGACTTCCACGTAAGATCTTATAGATTAGGCAGTTATATCATGACAAATCTACAATTTTAGGATTAGGTCTATTATTAGAGCAGTACTAATATCATAGTAGACCATAATTCTACATTGGTGAGCCCAACTAAAGAAACGCAACCTATTATTATTAATCCTTATTTCCACTTAAACTTTCTCGATCGATTTTATATTTATGTTAACACTGTATTCTAATAGTCCTCTGATTAATGCTCACATGCATTATCGTAATGTTATATTGATTAGTCCTCATGACAAACTAGCTCAATCGATAATAAAAACTGGTCGTCTATATAAACTAATTAGCTTTGATGGTTTGTTAACAAGCTGTAATAGCATTTACATGCTTCAGCGACATAGTCTTGTTTAAACATCAAGCTCTAGCAAATATGACCTGTAAATAGCGTAAATATACATTGACTAACAATGCGATCAAGGACTAAATAGTTATCTGGATCTAATTCACAGTGTCCCTTCACTTAACACCTCATCCTGTTTTAAACTATGCACTATCCTGTAATATCTTTTCTTCCGACCACTGCCTGCCTAATTTCATATTCTCGAGTTCCATTGCCAAACAACAAGGATGAAACTTCTCCAAAAACATACGGTGAGTTCCAGCTATAAGTTTTCTGCAATCATAAGGTCATTTTTAGATGGTTGGTTCAATGACAACCACACAATTATCTGGGTTCATTCGATTGTTCTGATCCGAGCGAGTGGCAAAAACCTCAACAGCATCAAGCACCCTGGAATTAATTGCCATACTGCATGATTTATTCTGGATGCTTTTGGATCAATACTACTCACGAATGGCGTTACATATGTCGTCCACTGAATAATCTAATTTTCAAAAATAATCAAGGCGAGTTCAACTATTTTACTGGATGATTTTTTTGTACTTAACATGTATATGTTTTTCAGTTGTTTTTGCCATATATTTGTAAGTGTCCCTAGGCTAAATGCAGTAACTTCTTATGGAATGTTTATAACGCGTCATATTCCTGCCTGAAGTTTCTTAACTTTGAATTTATTTATCTGGTCATGTTCATTATTTTTAAATTGTCATATACGTCAGCAACCTGCTTGTTAACCTGGCCCGCACATACACTATACCTTCATATCTTTTGAATTTAGAAATCATCTGAATCGCCTTTAACATTTATCAATAAACCAATCATAGTCGTTGTTGCTAATCGTATTTGGGTTTATGGATTGGTTTATCATATTAGCAGCCTGAAATGCGAACATAGTTTAGATAATAAGATTAAAAAATTAGGTACTATCAACTGCACTAGTAAAATAACTAAATCCCTAGGTAGCTGTTGGCTAAACAAACGTTTAAAATCAAAACTCCGTAGCCTACTAGAATTAACACTAAACGAATATTTCTGAATTGAAATTTATAATTAAATTAGGCGTCTCGGATTCTTTAACGTTACAAATTTCTGATAATTTCGAATCACCTAAAGCAACAATACCTATTTTTCCACTGACTAATCCTCATTCAACACTATAACTAGTGAAACATAATAGTCTCAGGATATCGTCATAAAGCATTGTCATAACTTGACAATCACGTAATATGATTGATAAAATTAATGAAATTATTAACAAAATCGGTCAGCAAATTGACTTATAATTATTACTAGTGTTGTTTTTCTTTTATCTTCATTCACTACAGATGATTACAGTATGTTTCTCTATCAGATGATCACTCAGTAAATATCTCGAAACATTGTCAGTCTAATTGATGGTTTAGCAACACAATCATGCATGCAAATAATCAGTATAAGCAGTCGAGCAAACCTGTAAACTGAAAACATCAATGTCGAATTTACCCCAACACTGACTAAGGTTCAAGCCATTATCATAGACATGAGTTAGGAGTGTACTCCCTCTGGTTACAACTTATGTTCTCCCTGATAATCACATGAGCATCACTCACCATTATTCATCTTGTAAAAACTTATTTAGCCAAATACATCTTGCGGCACCACATCACTTAGTAATATGACACATAGGCTTGACTGATTTCAATAACTTATAACTACTATATCTCAATTAAATCGTATTCCGCCTTATGATAAACTGCATACTTCCAACTAACATGTGTGCCCAATCAGCCGGCAAGTATAAATATAAATAAATAGTCTGCCGCAGATCAGAACATTGAGTCTAGAGCATGTCTCTTACGAACACACTCATGTTTAACGATTTTTTCCTAGCTATCTGTCCGAAATCCATATAATTATCACTCATGTATTTAAATTTTATTTTGATAACCATTCACGTGTATTAGTAGTATTGTAGTGGCATTGGACAATAGCCACACAATCCACAAAGCTGAACACGAGACTACTCAGAAAATAGATATTCAATATTTAACGCGGAGAAATACCTAACAATGGAGAAGGCGCGAAGAATGAATTGAATGAACTGGAGTTGACCGAGTGGCATGGCTCGGCCATGCAGGCGTGGTCTCTGCCGAATGTTGCCTTATATCTTCTATTCATATTAAATATATTGTTCCTTCTCTAGCCTAACCTTGTTCTACATCATGTATTGGTAATTGATACGATACAGTGAGTTGGTGTAGTCGATGGTGTGACTTCCACGTAAGATCTTATAGATTAGGCAGTTATATCATGACAAATCTACAATTTTAGGATTAGGTCTATTATTAGAGCAGTACTAATATCATAGTAGACCATAATTCTACATTGGTGAGCCCAACTAAAGAAACGCAACCTATTATTATTAATCCTTATTTCCACTTAAACTTTCTCGATCGATTTTATATTTATGTTAACACTGTATTCTAATAGTCCTCTGATTAATGCTCACATGCATTATCGTAATGTTACTTTCGGCGCGCTTTTGAAGGTTGTAACTTTTTTTCACGTGGTATTATTTTATTTTCCTATTAGTTTTTCTCTTTAATTTAACACTTAATAGCGATAAATAATTCGTCACTGATAGGGTTCTATCAATTTGACACCTTATTTAGGAACTCAACGTCATAAATTAATCTTGCTAATTCTCACGCTATCTCTATCACCAATTAACGTTAATATATTTACTCTTAACTAATACTGGGTCTGATCCTACCATAAAACTTCACACGTTCACTAAGTTAAATTACAACTATCGCTGTCTACCTAATTAAACTTTGTATTTACATTACTTCCGATAATGACCAGGCCATCTAAAAAACATATAATCTCTCCTGATGCCTATAGCACCTGCAAAAGTTCTAAATCAGTCACTAAAGCGAATAATGTGAAACCTTATAAACACACTGATCAGTCTGCATCCTACTCTGATCTTCCCTCAGCCACACTTAACGTGCACCGTTTACTTGGACAAGACATATTACTACCTTGCATCTCGCTTGTCGATATAAATAAGAGCAGTCACATACCGTTAGAGTCGACATCATTTGTCAGTCCAAACAAAAACACCACATGTTGTGAGCAGTATTTAGACAGTGCTGTTGATCCCAAACACCCAGCAATCTCACAATCGGCCATCCTGAGTAGCGGCCCACGGAGTACATGTAAGCCTGCCTACAATAGCCAGCCCGGTGATGTAGATCTTGACTACTCACCCAGACATATACCCCATCCCCCAACTAAGTGTGCACAAAGTGAACATCCGCTAGACACCTGCAACAGGCCTGTATGTAACCATATCGACCTTAGAAACTTTGATATAAACCCCGATAATCTCACCACTGGTAGACCTAAAAGCAGCCAAACAGAACTTAGCCTCACCCAAACTATTCAAGACCTATTACCTTACAAATATTTAATCAGTGTTCCAGAAAATCCCGATCTGGAAATTATAAAAAACACTGAAAAAGTAATTGACCATATATCATCTGAAGTGTTGAAAAGACTTCAGTGTATGCAGAATGTTATTGTGTATAATATACCTGATAGTACGAACATAAAGACTGCTAAAAATACTCTGCTACAAGAATGTGGATTGTCGCAATCTTGGTGTGTAACAAGAAGATTACGTAAGGCACACACTAAAGCCTCCTGTCCCATTCTATTTCAGTTTGGTAGCACCACTGAAGCTAATCACCTCCTCAATAGTCAGTCATTACTGAGGCGTATTCCAACATTTAAAAAGATTAGGATCATTCATGACAGGACCGCTATCCAGCGTCGAATCTGCAATGGAACACAAACTGATCAACCCAGCTTACGTAGCCGCGGCAGCTACAGCTCTTGTCACTGCACAAACCCTAAAATATCATACACTGCCCCCCCCCCCAAAAAACGGAGGCACGTCGGACACTGCTATTAGTCCTAAGGACAAGACCGCACATAAAGCAGCTACAACCACTCACCCTCAGCCCAGACACTCAGCTACCCCAAAATGCCAAACCACTTATGCCTCAATAGCGTCCAAGTATTACCCTAGCGGCCCTTATAAAATGCCTAAAAATGATCCTCCCAGGGATCGCGCTAAAAGCTACAGACCCGCGGACACCGCTGTGCGAAAAAATACCAAACTCTCCGTAAAAACCCACCAATACTCCAGCACCCCAAACCCAAAACATGTACCTTCTCATAGTAATAGAATGCCCTACAACAAACATAGAGAACTGGCAACACCCACTCATCCTAATGTGAAACGACACTCGACAAGAACCACACCCACACGTGATACCCATAAGTCATATGGTGTCAACCTTGTAAGCCCCATGAACCAACACAAAACTATACACAACAGAAACACCTCTCCTGGCAACAATAACATACAACCTCCCCAACTGACCACAATAGGACTAAAATTGCCCACCGCACACGAGGAAGCCATAACGCTGGCCTACTTGGGAACCCACCTACAGATTCTAGGTACTATCCAAGTCAAGCCACCCAATACAACGGTTTAGTCCCCCCTAATTCGACATGCACACTATCTCATCCTTTTTTTATCTCTCTCCCCCTCAACATTACTGCTATGGGGTCTCCAAATGTTGAGGGCGACAATCCCACTATTCTGAAACCATCTATATACTCCGATTTAATGGGGAGTAGCACATCCTACTCAACTTCGATAACTGTTTCTAGTCTTGAAAACTCCTTGACTGAACCCCCTGATCATTCCCCGGACACATTACCTAATCATTCGACTCTACCTTCCACTCTTAGACATACTTCTTTCACCAAAACCACACCCGACTACCCTTCTTGCATTAACCCTAATGGAAATAAACTAAACACTCATCAATATGGAGTCAACGCTCCCAATTCTTCCTTTTCTCAGGGCAAAACAGACAAACCACTCGGTTTACATCATACCCTTCTACTAGACAAACAGTCACCGTACCTGACACTTATGTTAATCAACGCTAGATCTGTACAAAGTAAGATGACTTACCTACGCACCCTATTGCTTTTAAACAACCCCTCACTTGTTTTGATAACGGAAAGTTGGCTGTCCTCCGATACCACAGACACATTTCTACAAATAGACACCTATGAGCTCTTCCGCTGTGATCGAGTCACCAAGAAGGGTGGTGGTTGTCTCGTCTATGTATCAAAAAATTTGAGAGCGGAAACCTATAGCGACCACGTCCTCAGCAAACTTCCTGAATCGATATGGCTTACTGTGCACACTCATGAATGCAAAATACTAATCGGATGCATATATCGAGCTCCTAACACTCCTAGTTCAACTGACACTATTATAAGTGAGTCATTTGCTCAGGCTGCCTCGCTTGACTTCACATACAAAATTGTATGTGGTGATTTCAACCTTCCCACCATCAACTGGAAGACACATTCTGGCCCATTGTGCTTTGAAAGCATACTTAGGTCCTTAGACATACACGGCTGGCAACAACATGTACACCTGCCTACACGAAATCACAACATTCTTGACTTGATATTCTGTCATAGTGTCACACCAACATCAATGGTGGTTAGCGAAAAGTTTCACAACAGCGATCATAAAATAGTCCTCTGCACCCTTCCAATTCTTGCCATATGCAACAAATTAAAGACATTAAAAACGCGATTCCAATATAGAGACTATGCAAACGCTGACTGGGAAAACTTTCGATTTCTAATAAAGCACTCTGACTGGGGCAGTTTCTTTACCAGTAATAACCTCTTAGAAACATTAGAAATATTCAATATCACCACCAAATCTGCACTAGACACCACTATACCCTCTAAAATTGGTTTTAAAACAGTTACTCCCTATATAAACCAAAAGACTAGGTCTAAACTGAGAAAACTGAAAAGGATGTACTATATATCAAAAGACTTCAGTGCCCTGCACCAGATATACTCTGTACTTGACGGAGTACAAAGTCAACACAACAAGCATAAACAGGTAGAGGAACGTACTGCGCTCGCTGCTGCATCTAAAGCCCAAGCCCTATGTCGTCTCCTCACGAAACGCATAAGAAAGAACACAGACAACAACATTCACTCCTTACTGCACGATGGAGTAACGTATAATGACCGAACCGTCATATGTGAACTATTAAGTGAATGGTTTTCTCACAATGGGAATACATCTGATGCCCCAGATATCGACATAAAGTGCACCGGCGAAAACTATCTTAGTACCATAAACTTCGACATTATGAGTATACATACCGCCATTAAAACCCTTAAACCAAATGCGAGTTCTGGTGCCGATGACATCCCTTCAATCGTTTATAAAATGTCAGGGCCGGACATACAGACGCTACTACTCAAAATATACACATTATCTTTAGAGACAGGTACATATCCGGAAACCTGGAAGGTAACGTATGTTCTACCCAAACACAAATCCGGACCGAGAAACCTGGTAGAAAACTACAGACCTATAAATATCACTCCAGTCATATCACGCATAATGGAAAAAGTGATACAAAATCAACTATCTGATCACCTACTCAAGGAAGATCTAATAGACCCGTCACAACACGGCTTCATTAGAACAAGGTCGTGCAGTACATGCCTGATAGACTTCTTTAACGAGGTTACTCGTATGCGTGACCAGAAGAAACTAGTTATTATACTATACTTCGATATTAAGAAAGCCTTTGATAAAGTACCTCATAATCTTCTAATCAACAGACTGAAGTCAGTTGGAATTATAAATCCCCTTTTGCAATGGATCAAGTCTTTTCTTACGAACAGATATCAAATAACCAAGATTAACTCTAATACATCTACACCTCGACCGATAACCAGTGGTGTTGTGCAGGGTAGTGTCTTGGGTCCATTGCTCTTTATAATCTACATCAACAATATATGCAGGTGTTTCAGCACAGGTAAGACCTACCTCTATGCCGATGACTTAAAAGTCATCTATAAAACTGACATTTGCGATTTACGCAGTACTATGCAAACAATCCAACATGAACTCAACATGGTAGATGACTGGTGCAAACGCTGGAGGTTAGAGCTCAACATAGAGAAATGCGGCTGGTTATGTATAGGAGACACGTCTCTTAAAATGAAACTAACAATTAGCGATCACGCACTCCCCAGACTGGCATCAGTAACTGACCTAGGGGTACATTATTCACACAGTCTTAATTTCTCTGAACACATCTCAGCCAAAGCATCCAAAATGCGGAAATTGCTTGGCTTCATTCTCCGTAATTTCTATCAAAATGAATCTAAAATCCTTCTTTACAAAGTTTGTGTAAGACCTATCGTTGAATACTGCTCGTTCTTATTTTCCAACCTACGTCTATCTGATATACTAAAGGTGGAAGGAATACAACGAGACTTCACCCGCAAAATACTTAAGACTGGCTCGGTCATTGACTACAGTTCTCGATGCCAAATCTTAGGAATAGCACCCCTTTGGGAGAGAAGGCTTAGGTCTAATTTGATTCTCTACTTCAAACTACTCAAAAACCTTACTTACTCAACATGTCAGATAATTCTTGCCCGAGATTCACATGAATACGAACTTCGAAACAAAGTATCTACGGTCAAAGTTGAGAAATACAGATCAAAAACTCGGGAAAACTTCTTCCTCACCAAGTATGCAATAATATGGAACAGTCTTCCTTCCGAGACTCGCATGGCAGATGAACTACATACGTTTGTGAAACTGCTTGATCAAGCCCTCACTCGCACTGATCTTGCACGTACGAACACATCTGCACCCCACTCAGACATCATAGGCTCTCTCCATGTCTAGACCAAAATGGACTTCAAGTTCAGTTTGCCTTATTTTTCCTACTTTGCAGTTGTATTAATTACTTTTTCCACCCCATTTCTTCACTTGAAGTAGACAGGTAACTCACTGGACCTATCATTACTGTCAAGCTAAACTCGGTCGATAAGGGACAATCACTACCACCCTAAAAAGTCAAGAGGACCCGACAATCGGCTGCCTACTACCAGTGGTCTTGCATCTATGGAACCTGTTACCAATCAACTGGTTAAGACAACAGAAAATAACATCAGCACCAAGTTACTGTGAGTTCCTTCCTGTTTATCCTATATTAACTTTTTACTCTTCTGTACACAATGTTGACTAGCAATTAATATTATTTCTCTACTCGTTCCCTTATCCACAACTCATACTTCTATACTTTTTCCGCCTGCTTAAATAAACAACTATCCTACAATATACCCTTCTTAACGCTTATACTCTGTTTGGCAAACTATACTTTATACTATAGTCAACAGAGGCACTGCATCGATGCTTTACCCACAGTCCACAGCTTGTAACTGCCTGATAAGCTTGTAAAATGGTACTTATAGAAATAGTGCTTTCCAACAAGTTGTGAAACAGAGGATTGTGTGAGGTATGACGTATATACAAAAATAAGCTTAAATGAGCCTAACATCACAAAAGGAGGGAGGGTGGAGTTACTGACCAGCAAGCATTGATGGTGAGGGCGATAACTTCAATCCACCCGTGTTTGTGGGGACAGAACATTTTGTATGTATCAGGCTCTTTATAATTGAGAATAAGACAGTCAATCTAAGATATAGATTGTCTTCCTACGCTCACCACTCAGACTCATGTTTCCAATAATATGCTGGATTAGCTATTCTACTAAGACAACCTATAACATGCTAACTCGGACTTTTACATTAGGATTGCGTGGCTGACATCGGATGGACAAAAAAAGAAAAGAAAAAAGACAATAAAAGATATAGTCACTAGTATTCTTAACACTTCACCCTCTATATATACACCCTTCTAATAAACCGCTTCCCTTGTACCAACCTTGACTTCCCTTCCTTCATGTGAGCTTACTCCAACTTGTTAAACATCACTACTCGTTGTTCTTTATTAGTACGTTCTCTAATATGGAGCCTCTGACTTCACTTCACTCTAACAAGACATAATATGAATTTATTCTAATTTATTATACCTCTGTCCGTTCTACTACACAATGTTAAGCAACCTTTGGCGTTCATATCCAAGTGCCTTGCTGCTCCTCTGTTTCTCTTTTTTTCTCCTTCAGAATCTTGCTCTGAGAGCACAACTATGAAACTTCTGACGTTTGGAGCAAACATAACGTACGCGTCCTCTCAAGGTCATAGTTTACAGCAAGCGCTCTACGATCTCACTTTATAACAACTATAAACTTAATAAGTTGGGAAGCATTTTGCGAACCAACAAATATTGTAATTTATAGATCATGCCTGTAAAAACGGTGTGTACCTGCACATGCAGAAATATATTATTATTATTATTATTCATTCACTACAGATGATTACAGTATGTTTCTCTATCAGATGATCACTCAGTAAATATCTCGAAACATTGTCAGTCTAATTGATGGTTTAGCAACACAATCATGCATGCAAATAATCAGTATAAGCAGTCGAGCAAACCTGTAAACTGAAAACATCAATGTCGAATTTACCCCAACACTGACTAAGGTTCAAGCCATTATCATAGACATGAGTTAGGAGTGTACTCCCTCTGGTTACAACTTATGTTCTCCCTGATAATCACATGAGCATCACTCACCATTATTCATCTTGTAAAAACTTATTTAGCCAAATACATCTTGCGGCACCACATCACTTAGTAATATGACACATAGGCTTGACTGATTTCAATAACTTATAACTACTATATCTCAATTAAATCGTATTCCGCCTTATGATAAACTGCATACTTCCAACTAACATGTGTGCCCAATCAGCCGGCAAGTATAAATATAAATAAATAGTCTGCCGCAGATCAGAACATTGAGTCTAGAGCATGTCTCTTACGAACACACTCATGTTTAACGATTTTTTCCTAGCTATCTGTCCGAAATCCATATAATTATCACTCATGTATTTAAATTTTATTTTGATAACCATTCACGTGTATTAGTAGTATTGTAGTGGCATTGGACAATAGCCACACAATCCACAAAGCTGAACACGAGACTACTCAGAAAATAGATATTCAATATTTAACGCGGAGAAATACCTAACAATGGAGAAGGCGCGAAGAATGAATTGAATGAACTGGAGTTGATCGAGTGGCATGGCTCGGCCATGCAGGCGTGGTCTCTGCCGAATGTTGCCTTATATCTTCTATTCATATTAAATATATTGTTCCTTCTCTAGCCTAACCTTGTTCTACATCATGTATTGGTAATTGATACGATACAGTGAGTTGGTGTAGTCGATGGTGTGACTTCCACGTAAGATCTTATAGATTAGGCAGTTATATCATGACAAATCTACAATTTTAGGATTAGGTCTATTATTAGAGCAGTACTAATATCATAGTAGACCATTATTCTACAGATTTACTGACCAGCAAGCATTGATGTTGAGGGCGATGACTTCAATCCACCCGTGTTTGTCGGGTGCAGCGTTTTGTATTTATCAGGCTCTTTATGATTGAGAATAAGTCAAGCAATCTGTGATATAGATTGTCCTCCTACGCTCACCACTCAGACTCACGTTTCCAATTTTATGCTGGATTGGCTGTTTTACGAAGACAACCTATAACATTCTAACTCGGATTTTTACACTAGGATTGTGTGGCTGGTATCGGATGAACAAAAAATGAAAAGAAAGGAAAAAGTTAGACAACAAAATATATAGTCACTAGGATTCTTACCACCTCACAATATACACACTACCTTCTAATTAACCGCTTTCATTGTACCAACCTTGACTTCCTTTCCTTCATTTGAGCTTACTCCAACTTGTTGAACGACACAACTCATTGTTCTTTATTGCTACATTCTCTAGTATGGAGCCTCTCACTTCATTTCACTCTAACAAGAGATAATATTAATTAAATTTAATTTATTCTGTTCTACTACACAATGTTAGGCAACGTTCGGCGTTCATATCCAAGTGCTTTGCTGCTCTTCTGTTTCTCTTTTTTTCTTCTTCAGAAACTTGCTCGGAGGGCACAGCTATGAAACTTCTGATGTCTGGAACAAACTTGACGTACGTGTCCCCTCAAGGTCATGGTTTACAGCAAGGGCCCTACGAGTTTACTTTATAGCAACTATAAACTTAATAAGTTGGGAAGCATGTTGTGCACCTACAAATATTGTAATTTATAGATCATGCCTGCACATGCAGAAATATATATATTTATTATTATCATCTTCTTGTTTCCATTGCCTATCCTTGTTTATCTACCCGTTCTATGACTGTATTTATTCAAGTTTACCGACAACTTATTATTATATTGTTTCTCAGACCTGTCAATAGGACAGTTATGTTACTCAGCAAAACTTCAGGATTGATGTCGCACGTGCCATATAACCGCCTATGATCCGACTTGCTGAGTCTGTTGTAAGCAGTTGCTGTGTGATATGTACACGCTTCATGGAATCCACCTTTGCAGTTGTCGCACTGCATGCCAGATGTAACAGTAAAACGGCATCCAGGTCGTTTGCATGAAATTCTAATGAAATATTGACGTAAGATGTTTTATAGATGCTAGTAAAGGCCTAAGACCGTAAAAAGCAGCACACCAAAAATAGGCAAAAATAGATAAAAACGGGTTATGATAGACCGAGTCTAGCCTTTACGCAAAAATGAAAAAATAACCGAATAGTAAGCTGAGGCAAAACCACAATTGAATATTAAGTATGGTAAAATGCTAAAAAGTAATCTACCAGAAGTATAGCTCAGAAAAGATTCTTTAAATCAGAAATGGCATTTTTGTTGCGTAAGAACACAGTAAAAGTTTGAAAAATGCAAATCACGTTAGGACTAAATTCCTTTTCGAAAATCGCGCAATCATGTCAATAGTGAAGAGAATCGGGTGCTGAATTTATCTGGTTATAAGTCGGAACACTTCTCTAGTGATGCACTGTAGGTCATTTTCTACAGTCATAATAGATGCTGTTGCGATTACGTTGAGAATTTAATTCAAAATACGAATAAGTAGCATTATCGAGGATGTCTGCTGCGCCTGATACACATGCTCTCCCGTTTCTCACTAGTTGTGTGAAGATGAGTAAAATGAACCCATTTTGTCATGATTTCACACATTTTTATCATTCCATTCGATGTATACAAACACTGTATAAACGAAAGAATATCGTTCAGGTTGACTTCAATTATTCCTGTCCACTTGCTTCGTGTCATACGGACTACTGTTCACTAAATACACGTGTTCGCATACATGTAACAGCTTAGGTTGGTTGGTTCAGAGTTGACCCCAAACAACCAAGCATATGCCAAAACAGTATTGTTCAAGTATTCATTCACTTCCTTGTTTTGTATAAGCGTTATATTCCCTATCATCTTATATTGACTGTTGAGAGCCTTTGTTTGTCTGAATAGATAATCCCATGCTCCACCGTCACCGCGCTTAGATCGAAATAAAGACCTATTCACTACTTGTCTGGTTTCTTCTATCAAAAGCACGAGGGTTACTTCAAGGCACAAAATTGGTGAACCCTTTTTGAACACAAATTTAACCTCATTTCTGTTATTAACATTTTTTTTACTTAATCGTAAAAGTAGGCCTGATTATCCGTAAACTAATTTGAGTATATAACTAGTTTATTCCGTATTATCTTAAGTTATTCGTGTTATAGTAACCACTTTTTGTGCTAACTTTATTGCTATATTTGTCACATACTTCATGTCAGACTCAATAGAAACCCATAGTCTGGAGGATTTGTCACCAGTGGAGATAGACACTGTTATGACTACGAAATCTCGACTTCCAGAATTTGATCGTAGTGATCCTGAGTTGTGGTTTGCTCAACTAGAGCATTATTTCACGAGACACAATATCAAATCCGAAGGGATTCGCTATAGAGACTTGTGTTCTATCCTTCCTCCTTCAGTCGCCAAAGAAGTCCGTGACTTGATTTTAGATCCACCCTCACCACAACCATACACCATCTTAAGACGAGAGATAATGAACCGTTTATCATTATCAGATAGTCAAAGAATCCAAAGACTTTTTCAAGGTGAAACACTAGGTGATCGGTCGCCGTCACAGTTTTTACGTCACCTCCAAGTCTTAGTGGGTGATAACACAGTGGGTGAAGCAGTCCTAAAACAAGGATGGATAAAAGCTCTCCCATGCTACGTCCAACACTGTTTGGATGCACAGGATCCTGAAACCTCATTATCTCATTTAGCGCGTATAGCCGACAGAATAATGGAAAGAGGTCCTCCAACTGGATCAGGCACAATAAATCACACACAAAAAGTAGAATCAGCAAAAGACCCCGTCATAGAAGGACTCATTGCGAGTGTTAAGAGTCTCACTGAGGCTGTCACCAGAATGCAAATGGGTCATAGAAACAGGAGTAGGTCACCACAACGACCACGATCCAAGTCACAAATGTCCAGACAATCTGGGCAGTTTTGTTGGTACCACTGGAAGTTTGGTGTCAACTCAACCAAATGCGTGCAACCATGCGCCTGGCCTAAGCATAATTCTAAGACAGCGGGAAACGAGTAACCCCTCCCCAGGTCGCGACGACTGAGGAGGGGCGCCTAAACAGTCGCTTGTTTTATGTTAGAGACAGAAACTCTGGCTTGAATTTCTTGGTAGATACTGGCGCTGCTCTTAGCATCATCCCTCGAAATAAAACTGAGATTAGTCGAGAAACATCATCAACTACACTTCAAGCTGCAAATAAAACTAAAATTGCGACATTTGGGCAGAAAACTTTAACCCTAGATTTAGGGTTCAGGAGGCAATTCCCTTGGGTTTTCACGGTAGCCGACTTAGATCTGGCAATACTGTGGATGGACTTTCTAGAGAGATACGAATTTCTAGTTGACACCAAGAAACGGCGATTAACACTAAAAGAAACTTCGTATTACACAAAAGGCAAAGAAAGTCACATCAACTCTCTTAACTTGATTCAAACTCCCCCAGTAACAACAGCGAAATTTCAAGATATACTCGCGGAATTTCCAAACTTAACTAAACCAAACCCACAGCCTTCTAAAGACAAACTAAAAGTGAGTCACACTATCAAAACCGAAGGTGCACCGGTGTTTGCGAAACCCAGGAGACTAGCACCAGATAAGCTCAAAATCGCTAGAGCCGAGTTTGATTATATGCTACAACTGGGTATCATCCGTCCCTCTGATAGTCAATGGGCATCCCCTTTGCATA